AGGTTACAATAGCAAGATAATGATGTCATATTATGATGGAGGCCGGAGGTTACAATAGTGAGATAATGATGTCATATTATGATGGAGGCCGGAGGTTACAATAGTGAGATAATGATGTCATAGTATGATGGAGGCCAGAGGATACAATAGTGAGATAGTGATGTCATAGTATGATGGAGGCCGGAGGTTACAATAGTGAGATAATGATGTCATAGTATGATGGAGGCCGGAGGATACAATAGCGAGATAATGATGTCATATTATGATGGAGGATGGAGGTTACAATAGTGAGATAATGATGTCATAGTATGATGGAGGCCAGAGGTTACAATAGTGAGATAATGATGTCATAGTATGATGGAGGCCGGAGGATACAATAGTGAGAGAGTGATGTCATAGTATGATGGAGGCCGGAGGTTACAATAGTGAGATAATGATGTCATAGTATGATGGAGGCCGGAGGATACAATAGCGAGATAATGATGTCATATTATGATGGAGGATGGAGGTTACAATAGTGAGATAATGATGTCATAGTATGATGGAGGCCGGAGGTTACAATAGTGAGATAATGATGTCATAGTATGATGGAGGCCGGAGGTTACAATAGTGAGATAGTGATGTCATAGTATGATGGAAGCCTGAGGTTACATTAGTGAGAGAGTGATGTCATAGTATGATGGAGGCCGGAGGATACAATAGCGAGATAATGATGTCATAGTATGATGGAGGCCGGAGGTTACAATAGCGAGATAGTGACGTCATAGTATGATGGAGGCCGGAGGTTACATTAGTGAGAGAGTGATGTCATAGTATGATGGAGGCCGGAGGTTACAATAGTGAGATAATGATGTCATAGTATTATAGAGGCTGGAGGTTACAATAGTGAGATAATGATGTCATAGTATTATAGAGGCTGGAGGTTACAATAGTGAGATATTGATGTCATAGTATTATAGGGGCCGGAGGTTACAAAAGTGAGATATTGATATCATAGTATGATGGAGGCCGGAGGATACAATAGTGAGAGAGTGATGTCATAGTATGATGGAGGCCGGAGGTTACAATAGTGAGATAATGATGTCATAGTATGATGGAGGCCGGAGGATACAATAGCGAGATAATGATGTCATATTATGATGGAGGCTGGAGGTTACAATAGTGAGATAATGATGTCATAGTATGATGGAGGCCGGAGGATACAATAGTGAGATAGTGATGTCATAGTATGATGGAGGCCGGAGGTTACAATAGTGAGATAATGATGTCATAGTATGATGGAGGCCGGAGGATACAATAGCGAGATAATGATGTCATAGTATGATGGAGGACGGAGGTTACAATAGTGAGATAATGATGTCATAGTATGATGGAGGCCAGAGGTTACAATAGTGAGATAATGATGTCATAGTATGATGGAGGCCGGAGGTTACAATAGTGAGATAGTGATGTCATAGTATGATGGAAGCCTGAGGTTACATTAGTGAGAGAGTGATGTCATAGTATGATGGAGGCCGGAGGATACAATAGCGAGATAATGATGTCATAGTATGATGGAGGCCGGAGGTTACAATAGCGAGATAGTGATGTCATAGTATGATGGAGGCCGGAGGTTACATTAGTGAGAGAGTGATGTCATAGTATGATGGAGGCCGGAGGTTACAATAGTGAGATAATGATGTCATAGTATTATAGAGGCTGGAGGTTACAATAGTGAGATAATGATGTCATAGTATTATAGAGGCTGGAGGTTACAATAGTGAGATATTGATGTCATAGTATTATAGGGGCCGGAGGTTACAAAAGTGAGTTATTGATATCATAGTATTATAGAGGCTCGAGGTTACAATAGTGAGATA